GACAAAACGATGCCTATTATATATATATATATTGTTGAAACTTGACTAATGCATGGAATAATAATGCAACACAAAATGTACTTAGAACAAAATGTATTGAAACAAGAAAGTGTACACAATATTTACATATAGTCTTTTGTATATTCCTGGTAAGACCGTTCCTGGAGAATGTGTTGACTGAGTCGCAGTCGGGCAGAGTCTCTGGTTGAATCTCTTGATTCCTTCCTTCTTCCCGGTACCAACCATATTTATATGGTCGGTACTCCACTATGCAAACTAGGTGGATCCTACCACAACAACCCCTCCCAAGCCTTGGAATCCTTTTGGATTTCAAACTGGCTTCCTATATGGGTTGATGATTATGGCTATTTTTTTGTAGATCCATTTGCATACTTCATATGCATATGTCCATCCGCTTAATTTTAATATTTTTTCCGTTTTGGATTCACGTCCAATGGTTCCGTGAACTTTCGTTTCCTACCGAATCTTCTCGGTTCAGGAGTATTCTGCGGAGGTTCTACTTGAAACATATCATACATTACCTCAATGGGTCTTCCTCCTCATCCGGTATACTCTCTTCATGCTCTATAATGTAACATTTTTAAGTTGATCCTGGTGCCTTTTATGAGTATTCTTCGGCCCTTTAATTATGTAAATCAGGTCACTGATTCTCTTGTCCACTATGCCTCGCTCCCAGAACTCAACGTTGTTTTGTAGCACTTGAAAAAGACCTTCTCTCCGGAGGTGTATCTTTTTCTCGCTGTATACATAGTATTCTTTACTCTATTTTTTCCTGGCAAAAGTTTGTCAAACACTGACTTAACTTTCCTAGCGAACATTAGTTCAGCTGGTGCCATGTTTGAGTGTGTTCTCTGGTTTGGCGTGATTCTGTATACTTGTAAGAATTGCTGAAGCGCCTTTTTTTCGTTGGAACTCCTGAGGCTTTCTTCAGAGCGCGCTTTAAAGTATCGACAAATCTTTCTGCGAGTCCATTGGACCTCGGATGATATGGCGACGTCGTTATGTGGTTAATATGATATAACTCACAAAATTCCTTAAATTCTTCAGAAGTGAATTGTGTACCATTGTCACTCACAATACACTCTGGCACACCGAACCGTGCAAATAGTTCATGCAAAAAAGTTGTTGTGGTACTAGACGTAGGCTTTTTGCAGCGTAGTACTTCCAGCCATTTTGTAAAACTATCTACCACTATTAAGTAGTAATAATCTTCTACTGGACCAGCGAAATCAATGTGTAATCTTGTCCACGGATGATCCGTCTTGGACCATGGTTTGGGTACTATAGGTGGTGCCTTAGCTGCTAGCGCACACCCTTTACATCAATGAACCATGTTTGCGATATCCACATCCATTCCTTTCCAATATACAAAGCTTCGTATTAAGCTTTTTGTTCTATTAATACCCGGGTGACCCATATGAAAGTCCCGTAGTATTCTTTTCTGCAACTTTTTTGATACTACTACTCTCTCACCATATAATAAAACTCCTTCACCTATTGAATAAATCTCCTGCACTTTTTGGTCATTTGCTACCATTTTGCTTTTTATTTCTAAAATGAAATCATCGCTTTCAGCTTTTTTTAATTTCCTTTAGTGTAACCGGTAGCTCTCTTACAATGTTGTTTACCATGCTTTTCACCTCATAATCTGCTCTGATATTTGCAATAAATGATTCTTCGAATCTTTCTTCTTGACTCGGTATGAGTCTTGATAAACTATCCGCATGAATTATATTTTTGGATGATAGGTGCTTTATGAAAATCATAATAATTGAGAAGAATGGTTCCCCATCTCAACAGACGATTTTCCGTATAAACGGGTAACCCTTTCTTTGAACCAAAAATAGTGATCAGTGGTTTATGATCCGTTTCAAGCATAAAATGTTTGCCGTGGATGTATCTGTGAAATTTTGTTATGGCAAAAATGATACTCAACGCCTCTTTTTCGATTTGTGAGTAACTTCTTTCTCCTGGGAGTAAAGTTCTCGAAGCATGTGCATTTGGTTTTCTAGAACCATCTGGCATTATGTGTTGAATACACGCTCCTATCCCGTATGAACTGGCGTCACTTGCCACTAAAATATCCAGTTTTGGATTGTAATGGGTTAAAAAGAGGTCGGACGTAAGCATTTTCTTTATTTCATCAAAGGCTTTCTGACATTCTACCGTCCATTCCCATGCCTTGTCTTTTTTTAGCAGTTCATTGAATGGAGCTCTTAGATTGTACATCCCTTTAATGAACACTTGATAATAATTTGCGAGCCCCAGAAAACTCTGTAGCATCGGCACATTAGTGGGCGTCGGCATGTCTCTAATCGCAATGGACCTTTCCGGATCTGGAAATCTGCCCTTTTTGTTGATTATGTGACCTAAATACTTAATTTCCTCCAAACCAAATTCGCACTTTGACTCTTTGACTTTAAAACAAAAGTCCTGAATCTTTTTAAATACTTGATTGAGATGCTCGATGTTCGTCGACGGTTTTGCTCCTTACTATGATGTCGTCTGAGTAGGCGCACGCAAAGTCTAAATCATTCAACATGACGTCCATAGCTTGTTGAAAATGGCTGGTGCCACTTTTGAAAATACCAAACGGAAGCCTGTTGTACTTGAATAACCCTCTATGCGTGTTTATCCCTAGCGCAGCCCATAACTTCGAACACCCATCTTCGACGGGAATTTGGAGATAGGCATCTGATAAGTCGATTTTTGAAAATATAACTCCACCATTTAGCTTATTAAAAATCCTCTCCGGACTCGGTAACGGTTAATGGTAGTCCTTAATTAGCTTCAAACTTGTTACCTAAGACCAGGTGAAGGTTCGAATGTTTCAATAAAATCTGAGTTCAACCTGTCGAAAAAGGCCTTTTAAAAATTTTCAACGCAGACTCTGACTTGGTTTCTTTTTAAATTTTCTTTTTTCCTCAAATGCATCATTTGATAAATCGGCGCAGCCCCATGAATTAGATTCTACTTCTTTCGAAATAATTTTTTCCATTTTTTTCCAACCTATCAAATTTTTCGTTAATTTTTCAATACACTTGCCAAATGCACGTTACGTTTCTTTTTCAGATTCGAGTTTAGCCAAAATTGGCATAGTACTTTCCTTTAATTCAAATTTAGCTTCAAACTTGTTACATCTTTCCAAGACCAGGTGAAGGTTTCCGGAAACTTTTGCTCTTTAATTCATCTTTAATGTCCTGTCTTTTGTTTGCGTATTAATAGACTGACTTTTCTTGACTTTTCTCTGCAGAAAAAGTAGAGTTTAACGGTTTTTCTCCCACAATTGAATGTTTCAATAAAATCTGTACCCATCAAGTTTTCTCCATTTTCAGAATGAAAAAACTTTTATTTTTTAACTATCCTGTTCAATTTCATTTTGGGAAGTACAACCTCGACTTCGAAGTTAATTTCCTTTCCAGTTACCGCTCGAGTGCATTTTTTTGCGTTGACTTCATTATTGTAGGCCTTTTAAAATTTTCCATGTTTTATAGTTCATTATTGTTAAATCTGAACCCGAATCGAGTTGAAATTTGATATTCTTTTTTAAATATTTCTTTAACGTCACATATTTCCTCAAATCTCTATCTGATTTGATATTTGAATTTGTTTGTCTAATTCGGCTATTGACTTTTTTTTTAATGTTTTATTCAACACGATTGTTGAAACTTGTGTCCATTATATTGTGGAACCATTTTTTCCTCCTTTGTTCTTTTGTATTTAATTTTTAAGTCTAATTTTAAAATGCAGAATTTTTTTGTCTCCAATTCTTGCAATGGGAACGAAACATTTCTTCAAATTTTAGACTTTCATTATTTATATATATATATATATATATATATATATATTTGGGCAATTTTTAGCCAAAATTTCTGTTTCTTATTTAAAACAGTGCTTTATTGATTTTCAGTCCTGAGTTAAAATTAAAAACTTGAATTTTTTCGTTCAATGCCAATCGTTATACAATTATATATAGATGCATATGTATAAATAACCATTTTTTGTATCCTCCTCATGCCATCGTTATATATATATATATTTATATTATATAGATATTTAATTTTTCTTGTCTAATTTTAAAATTTATTTCGCCGAATTTTTAGTAATAGACTGAAAATTTTTTCACATACGCTCTGATACAACTGGTCTAGTCAATTTGACTGTTTTTTTAATTTTTTTATTAAATATATCGATGAATTCCTTCAGATAGAGAGATTCGTTTGTGAGAGAGAATGGGAATGCCCAGTCTTTCTTCTTGCTTTTGATTTTGTGGAGAAAAAATGATATTTTGATTTTTTTTCTTTTTTTATTTTTTTTCTATTAATAAGGCAAACTGTTCACTTTCCTGACGTTGAAGAACTTAACTCGAAGGGGATTTGAATAATTCAGATATGAATTTATAATTCATCCATCTTTTGCTTGATAAGTCGCTTTAAAGTCGACACGGCATTTATTTGGACCTTTTAAATCCATTTTTTTCGATGAAGTTTTTTAAATCACCTTATTCCTTTATCCTATTCAAATTTTGATTTCTGAAATCCATTTTTTGCTTAGTCTTTTCAACGAGTTCTTCCAGAGGGTCCATTAGATGTTGGCAAAAACGAATTTTTCCTTCATTATAAGAGTCCCAAAAAAAATGAAGGCTCGATCAATTATCAATTTTTTTTTTCAGCTAGGAATGAAACTACTAGTGGAATAATAATTCAACTGTTTTTTCTGGAGGACAAAATGTATTGCATGCATTCATTTCAACTAAGACTTTCTTATTAATAACTTTATTGTTTCCATTTCCTGGTACAAACTGATATTTATATAGGGTTTAGGTGGTGTTCCAGGTACATATATATATATATATATATATATATATATATATATATAAAAATATATACAGTTATATGGTGTTGTGGTGTGAACATTAAGGCTGACTTATGTAAAAATGAGGAGTGATGCATTTAGATGAGTTGGTTGAAACCTGATGC